CAGCCCCTGAGATACTGGAAGACTGCTATCCTGTCCCCCCTCGTCCTTCTCTTCGTCAAACTAGCCATCCTTTCTTTCTCTCATCCCTTCCTTCCTTCTTCATATCCCTCCCTTCCTGCCTACCTCTCCCTCCCTCCCTCCTTTCTTCTCTCTCTCCCTCCCTCCCTCCCTCCCTCCCTCTCTCTCTCTCTTTCTTTCTCATCTCATCCTCCTTGGAGATTCATTTTGAGTTCCTATTCTAGATTGGGCTTTGCAAGCATGATGGAATCGCTTTGATTTTTCTTTTCTTTCCCCCCTCCCGGGGGGCTTTTTCTGTACCCAACTCACTCCCTCTTCCTCTTTTAGACCTGAATTTTTTATTTTTATTTTTTAAAAAAAGTTTGCAGTTGTGTCAGTAGATGAATTTCACAGCCCAGTCGAAAAATGTCAAGGGCCAGAGCAGAGCTGAAGAGAGATGCTTCCAACACTTAATTTAATCTAGCCAGCACAAAGATTTTTTTCTTTTTTTTTATCCTCAGCTATTTGGCCCGTATTCACCCTCCTTCCCCTTCCGTTCAGAAAAACCACACTACTTCAGGATTTGCACAATGATCAATATTATTTCTTCACATTTTCTGGAAGTAGAAATTGCATTTCCAATTTCAACTCAAACAATACAGTGCAGGCTCTCCTTTTCGACAGGGGAGTTGGGAAAAAAAAATCACACGCTTTCTCTGCATGTTCGAAGGCTCAGAATGAAAATAATCAATAAAAATAATATCTGGCTAGGAAAGATGTTAAGAAAACATGCAGATTTTAAAACCGGAACTATTTTTATTAGGTCTATTATCAGGAATATATGATAAAGTGTATATTTAATGTTGCATGCATTAACAGCAGCATGAATTGTATTTGCTCAGTACTGGAAAAATGAAGAAACACCCTCTGAAGAAGAGATAATCATGAAAATAGTGGACTGTGCAGAAATGGATAGACTTACACTGAAGATTAAAGAAAAGAAGACACAGAATACTTTCAAATATGGGATGAATTTTATCAGTGGCTGGAAAAACAGGGGAGAGATTAGGATTTTAATGTGCATTAAGTAAAACAAAGGGATCCAGACACCATGTTGTTTACTAAGCACTTACGAATTGCAAATGTAGAAAACTAATAAAATATTATAAAAAGGAAAAAAATAATCAATCTGATGACCTGCTTAGGGGGAATTGACCGTCTGGAATTAAGACCAAGAATCACTTTAGGCAGAGACAATGAAGTTAAATTTGGATTTGTGCAGAAACAGTCCAGTCTGTTTACAACTCTCATCTTACGCGGACAGCTGGGACCAGACCTTTGCTGATAAGTCTGTTGCTAAGCAAGTCACGCTCAATTTTATGTCCTTTTGTTCCATGGTTGTTAAACAAATCACTACAGTTATTAACCGAAACATGTGGTTGTTAAGTGAATCTGGCTTCCCCCAGTGAACTTGTTTGTCAAAGGCCAGCTGGGAAGGTCACAAACAGGGATCATGTGACCCTGGGCTGCTGCAAACATTTGTCCACAGCCAACTCGAGAATCCAAATAAACACTCCAGGTTCATTCTGTTTCCGAAAATCTTACTGTTTATTGAATACACGGCATGGTAATGTCGAAGCAAAACTAACTCCGAGCTTCCCAGACACCAGTTCATAGAATTAAGCAATAATTTCCCCCAGCCAAACCCGCAACCTCTCACGTTGTCTATGTAAACAATTTCACTTTGTTATGGGAACCGTCTGCTTCCTCTCCGCACCTGCTGCTGTGTCCTTGAAAAGGTTTCAGGCACTCACTGGCCTTCAGCAGAATTGTAGAGGTTTCGTTTCTCTTATCTATCCAATTCTAAAGCAACAACTTACCCCACTACCACCCCACTCTAATGGCAAGTTGAAACGAAGAGGCACGTAGCTGCCAAAGTTTCATTCTTCACACCATCATAGATTGCCCGTATTTTGATCATGTGACCATAGGGATGCTGCTACAGTCGTAATGTCAAAGCAAGAACATCCGATCTTAGCAGCATTGATACTGGGGTGGAGGAGGAGGAGGAATGTGCATGGGAGTTAGTTAGGCATAACAATATTGCAACTAGTGTGAGAACCAAGGTTTTTTTAAATAAGAGATGATAAGAAATGGCTGGGTTGGAGAACTGGAGGGAAAGCCTGCATTTCAAACTAATTGGAGAATGTTATTTATGATGGTTAGTTAGAGGAGGGAATTGTGCTTTGATACTATGTGCTCAGGGGAGGGGAATTCAGATTTTGGCTTGGCCTATGTAGGTGCCGATGCTATGCTACTCAAATAAAGATTCTTTAAGGTAAACAATGCCTCAAAGTTCTTTGAAGAGTCATCTGTCGGAACCATGACACATAAGTGTGGGGACCGGTCATAAGTCACTTTTTTCAGTACCGGTGTAACTTCAAACCATCACTAAATGAACGGTCAGGAGTCAACCGACTATAACGTTGTCATGGTTCCCACATATGAAACTCTTCAAAGAACTTTGAGGCATTGTTTACTTTAAAGAATATTTATTCGAGTAGCAACACATCGACAGGTTCATAGTCCAAGCCAAAATCTGACTTCCCCTCCCCTGAGCACATACTATCAAAGCACAATTCCCTCCTCTAACTAACAGTCATAAATCACATTCTCCAATTAGTTTGAAATGCAGGCTTTCCCTCCAGTTCTTCACCGGCCATTTCTTATCATCTCTTATTACAAACACCCTTGGTTCTCACCCTTATACAGTATTGTTTTGTCTAACTAATCTCCCATGCACATTCCTCCTCCTCCTCCCCCCCCCAGTATCATCTAATTCTAACTCTAAGAGTAAAACATAAAGTAAAAGAAAATGGCTGCATCTCCATATGTTGTCAAAGTAAGACCATCCGATGTTAGCAGCGTTGACAAATGTATTAGGAAAATCACAGTCATTTTCTTTGTTGTTGTTGTTGTTGCGAAGTCGTGTCCGACCCATCGCAACCCCGTGGACAATGTTCCTCCAGGTCTTCCTGTCCTCTAACATCTTCTGGATGGTCATTTTCTACAGGGCCTTCAATGGATCACGGTGTCCTTCATTCTCTGTTTCTCTCTTGTCACTCCAGACTCCCTGAAGTCCGAATTTCGGACAACGGACCGTATGAATGTCACGTGGGGATTTACGACAGGGCGACCCGTGAGAAGGTGGTCCTGGCCTCAGGCAACATTTTTCTCAACGTGATGTGTAAGTAATAACGATCTTCCTCTTTCATCAACCGCTGTTGATTAGGTGGGAATTCATTATATAACCCTGTGTGTGTGGGGGGGGTGTCTTTTAACCCCAGCAACTTTTCACATATATTCCACTTCACAGATAGTCCTTGAATGACGACCGTAATTAAGTCCAAAAGTTAGGTTGCTAAGCGAAACAGTTTTGCCCCGTTTTACGACCTTTCTCACCACGATTGTTAAGTGAACCCCTGCAATTGTTGAGTTAGTAACGTGGTTGCTTAAGTGAATATGGCTCCCCCATTGACTTGGCTTCTTAGAAGATCGCCAAAGGGGATCATGTGATCCCAGCACACTGCGACCGTCGTAAATATGAGTCAGTTGCCAAGGGTCTAAATTTTGATCCCCTGACCGTGGGGGATGCTGCAAACGGTCGTAAGTCTGAAAAGCAGTCCTAAGTCCCTTTTTTCAGCGCCGTTGTAACTTCGAACAGTCCCTAAATACACCGCTGTAACTTGAGGACTACCTGTACCCTTTTATTTTTATTTTATTTTTCGTAACTGGGGGAGAAAAAAAACACATGCTAGAAAATCTGCACGCAACATTGCCCAGGAGACAATTTTTAGCCTGATGCTTCGCTTAGAAAAACGAAAGCAAATTGCAATATGTCATTTTTTTTTAAAGCCTTAATTATTCCTTACATGCATCTAAGGGACACTTGCAATGAACGGTGGAATTGTACCTTTTATCACACGTTTATTTATTATTTATTTATTAAGAGGCGTGGTGGCGCAGTGCTTAGAATGCAGGATCGCAGGCTGACTCTGCCCATAGCTAGCAGTTCGATCCTGACCGGCTCAAGGTTGTACTCAGCCTTCCATCCTTCTGAGGTCGGTAAAATGAGGACCCAGATTGTTAGGGGGGGCAGCAGGCTGACTCTGTAAACCACTTAGACAGGGCTGCAAAGCACTGTGGAGCGGTATATAAGTCTAAGGGCTAGTGCTATTGTTCTTCCTTTCCCCCTTCCTTCTTTACTTCCTTCCTTCCTTCCTTCCTTCCATCCATCCATCCATCCATCCATCCATCCATGGTATGCAATGGTTAAAATGCAGCTTTGCAGTCTGACTCTGTCCACAGCCAGGAGTTCGATCCTGACCGGCTTAAGGTTGGTACTCAGCCTTCCATCCTTCCGAGGTGGGTAAAATGAGGACCCAGATTGTTGAGGGGGCAATAGGCGGATCCTGTAAACCGCTTANGCACCCGGAAGGCCACCGGCAGCCAGTGCAGCTCACGCAAAAGCGGTGTTATATGGGAGCGACGAGTCCCTCCCAACACCGCCCGCGCGGCCGCATTCTGGACTAGCTGGAGCCTCCGGATGCTCCTCAAGGGGAGCCCCATGTAGAGAGCATTACAGTAGTCCAGGCGGGAGGTGACGAGAGCATGAGTGACTGTGCGAGTTGAAATGAAGGGTCCTTGGTGCCCTCTGAGCTTGGTGATTTTCTTGCAGACGTTTCATCACCCATCTAGGTAACTTCATCAGTGCTGATAATGTTACTTACTTTGGTAATGCGACGTCTGCAAGAAAACCACCGGCGCGTCTTTACGTAGAGTTTTTAGTCAAGACCTGGCTGGTAAATCCCGCTGATTCTTTCTTGATTTCACCCAGATTATTTTGTCTCGCACAGCTTCCCTTGTGGGATGTCCCTCGGCTAAATCTGGCTTCTGTAATGCATCACGACACCTTTTCAAGTGTAGCCCCTTATCTGTAAGAGCTTGCCTGGATTATTATGCCAGGAGGTGCTTTACTCTCTCACTCCTTCCCTCCAAGAATTTTAGAACAGAAGTGAAAACAGGGGGAAGGAAGTATTTTCCCCACAGTCTACTCACAAAAAAACCCAAAAACCCTGCATTTCTTGGGCTGAATCACTCAATAACGCACCGCTGGCCTCCAGACCCTCCGTTACGAACGTTCACACACCGCAGTAGCCTTTCTCTTATTTTTAAAAAATAATTTATACCCCAGAGGGCAACCGGCTGGCTGGCTGGCTGCTGTGGACGCATACATATTGAGTTGTTTGTTGTATCATTGATACTGTTTTTCATCGTCGTGGGCTTTTTTTTTCCCCTTCTAAAAAAAGTCCCTGATGCTCATTTTGCAATTTCTGTTTTAAAATAGATCTTAACTCTTTTATGCAGCAGAAGGGGGGGCGGCGTTGACCAAGACTAGGGCTTGCTGCTCCCTCCAAACCAGGTCATCCGCGGTATGGGTGCCCCGCTTCGCAAATAATAGTCATAATTAAAAATGAGCAGGGTGGCTGTCCTTTCTGGCTATCCATCTGGACTTTGGCGCTCCAGGGATGTGGCTGGAGGGTGGGGGCCGAAGCTGAGCCCCCTCCCCTCCCCATCCTTGCCTTTTACAGCAAGATTGTCGCAGTGGGGTGAGCTGTTGCAAGCATCAAAGTAGAGCAGCTGTTGGAACTTTGCTTACCACGTAGCATCGAGGTACCTGAAGTTGACAGATGAGCTCAGGTGTAAACTGAGATTGGTTCCTCACCAGCTGTTCTGCATTGTGGTTACTTCTTGGAACGGCGAGACCACCTTCCTGTCCTGGCCACACATCTGAATCTGGCTGCAACTCTTCCAAGGGACTCCCAGGTTTCCTGTTTGAAGTTGACTCTACTCATTGGATTCTTCTTGATCTGCAAGGACCATGTCCTTCATCTCTCCATGTCCGCATCACAAAAAAGATGTTGAGAGTTTGGAAAAAAATCCAGAGAAGAGCAACTAGGATGATCAAAGGCCTGGAGACGAGAACATACGAAGAACGGCTGCGGGACTTGGGCTTGGCTAGTCTAAAGAAAAGAAGAAATAGGGGAGACATGATAGCAGCGTTCCAATATCTGAGGGGCTGTCACTAGGAAGAGGGGGCCAGGTTGTTCATCAGAGCACCAGAGGGCAGGAAGAGAAACAATGGTTGGAAACTGATCAAAGAGAGAAGCAACCTGGAATTAAGGAGAAAGTTCCTAACAGTGAGTACAATTAAACAGTGGAACAGCTTGCCTCAAGAAGATGTGGGAGCTCCATCACTGGAGGCTTTTAAGAAGAAACTAGACATTCACCTGTCTGTGATGGTATAGGTTCTCCTGCTTGAACAGGGGGCTGGACTAGAAGACCTCCAAGGTCCCTTCCAGCTCTACTCTACTCTACTCTACTCTACTCTACTCTACTCTACTCTACTCTACTCTACTCTACTCTACTCTATTCCAAAACAGCTACTACAATCCTAGGTTGCATAAACGGAGGCATAGAATCAAAATCACATGAAATATTAGTACTGGCTTATAAAGCCTTAGCAAGACCATACTTAGAATATCGCATCCAGTTTTGGTCACCATATTACAAAAACGATGTAGAGACTCTGGAAAGAATGCAGAAAAGAGCAACAAAGATGAACAGGGGTCTGGAGGCTAAAACATACAAAGAACGGTTGCAGGAATTGGGGGTGTGTAGTCTAATGAAGAGAAGGACTAGGACCGACATGATAGCAACCTTCCAATATCTCAGGGGCTGCCCCAAAGAAGAGGGAGTCAAGCTATTCTCCAAAGCACCTGAAGGCAGGAGAAGAAGCAACGGATGGAAGCTAATCAAGGAGAGAACCAACCCAGAACTAAGGAGAAATTTTCAATTAACTAGTAGAACTTCAAAAGTTCCAATACTGGAGGTTTTCAAGAAGAGATTGGACATCCATTTTTCCAGAATGACATAGGCTCTCCTGCTTGTGCAGGGGGTTGGACTAGTAGACCTCCAAGGTCCCTTCCAACTCTTGTTTTTCCGTCAACCAACCCTCCTCAGTTCGGAGGAACAGAGAGAGACCTACAGAAAATCCAAAATTCTAAGCTGGACCTGTTAAGAACTACTGTAGGAAAACAGATGGCAAGTGAGATTTTTTCCTCTCGCTGCTGCAGATAAAAACGGGCTGATGGAATCGTAGCTTTAAAACCAAACGAACAAAACAGTGCAACAAAAAAAAATGGGCAGTTGGTATCCTTAAACCTTAACGAAATCCCTGCAGCTCCGTCCTGTCATAGGCCACAGCCTTCTCCACCAGAGGCTGTTTTAAAAATAATAATTAAGCGCGGGGGGCCAAAGGGCCGTAAAATTCAAGAACTACGGCCCTGTGATATTTCCGCGTTAGGCACTGATGTTTGCAGATGCAACAGTTTTACAAGATTGCTAATTGCTGCTGGGTTGAAAAGCACCAGGGATTTTTTTTCCCTCTCGTCCGGGGTTTCAGCTTTGTGTAAAGCTGCCACGGGCTCCGCTTTTCGGAGCATTTCAGGGCTATTCAGATTCAGCAGACCGTCTCCGTACCCCCTTCCTGTGTAGGTGTGATTTGTGGGTATGCATGAGAGAGAAAGAAGAATAGGCAGAAATTCATCTCCTGCTCACGCTTTTACATTTCCCGGCCGATGTTTTAAAACCCCACCTTGTGTGGGTTTTGCAGCAGCAGTTCTGCCTCTGGAAAAATATTCCCTTGAAAACGGCTGGGATGCGGCGAGGAAGAAAAAAAAAGTCTGAGCAAAAAACGCAAGCATCAGAGGAAAAATGATTGCCCCCAAAAAAGAAGAATACATTAAGAGGAAATAATGTCTCACAAAAGTGAAGGAAGTAGACATTTTTTTAAAAAGAAACAGGAGAAGGAGAAATACATACATACATACATATATATAAAGAGAAAGAAGGAAAAATACATATAATGATAGATAACAACTTAAGATATTATATAGACAAATGCCAGGAACTTTCTCTTCTCTTTGAATCTTTACTCCTAAGCTAGCTTTGAGATACGGCACATTTTGCCTGGCCAGGTTTTGCAGATGCCGAATTTGGTGCCAATTAGCTTTTCCGTTTTATAATAGCAGTAGTAGTAGTAGTGGTGGTGGTGGTGGTGGTGGTGATGGTGATGATGATGATGATGATGATGATGATGATGATGATGATGATGATGATGATAAT